GAACCTCCGGTCTTACAACACCAACACATTAGTCCTAGGTACCATTTATTCCTTCCCAAGCTTGTTTCCCCAGACTGTGGTAAACAATGAAACACACTCAGATTATCAGGAACAGGATGCTACCAGTGCAACAACCAATGGTCTAGGCATCTTCAGCAGCCAGGAACAGAGTATTCTGGGAGCAAGTAAGGCTCTGGCCCTCAAACTGCCCCATGCTGACAACTGTTTGTCTCTCAGCAGCAAGGTCAGCCCTGTTGATTACACAGTAGGATGAAGAGTCTGTAATTAGCTTAACTGCAAATGACAGTAAAAATCTCACTCAGCACAAGGACTTAATACAATCATTGTATTCCCAGTACTCAGAATGGTGTGGACACTCAAACATTTTTTAAAGGAATAAAGGAACCACCACTGAGCTCAGTGATTAAAAAAGACATAATCATCAGATCAATACCAGTGTACCAAGTAATGAATGTTATTGTACAAATTTCCACAAAGTATGTTTCTCCTTTTTTTTAACTGTTAAAATTTGTTTAAGAGGCCAGGCATGGTGGCATACACCTATAATCCCAGCACTTGGGCAGCTGAGGCATGAAGATTGTTGCAAGTTTGAGAACAGCCTCATCTACAAAGTGAGCTCCAGGCCAGCCTGAACTGCACAATGAGACCTTGTCTCAGAAACTAAATAAAGAAAGAAATAAGGAAGGGCCGAGAATAAATACCTGCCAGCAAGCACGAGGTCATGAGTTCAATCCCCAGTAGCGCAAAAAATTTAAAAAAATAATAATAATAATAATAAAAAAAAATATATATATATATGACTTAAATGAACATAAAATGACTTTTCAAAACCCTAATATGGCATAGAAATATAAGGTATTAACTTCTGACATAAATATCTTCAGGTTTTAACTATTTGTTTGCTCCTTTGTAATGAGGTCTTACTGTGTGACCTAAGCTGGCCACTAACTCTTGTGCTCAAGGGATCCCACTCCTGCCTAAGACTCCAGAGTAGCTGGGACTACAGGTGTGTGCCACCGCCCAGCTCACCTTCAGATTTTAGATGGATGGTTTCTATTTATCTGTCCACATATTTCTACTTTTCCTATTTCCTACTTCCTCAACCCAGAAAGTTGCCAACAGAAAGCACAACAGGCTGTCTCCAAATACCTGCTGAAAAAGATGTTCATTCACACAGATTAGAAATCAAAATCTGGCCACGCAGAGTAGCTCACCTTCTGAAGGTTTGTCAATTGGTTACTTTCAAATAAAGAACACATGACATAACACACACAGAAGATGCCTGCGTCCCCGGCAGCACTTCCCTCACACACATTACTCAGCATGAACATTAGCATTTGTCCTTCATGAATACACACTCAAGGAATGTGCTTCAGTGTTTTGGTTTCGCTCAACAATGCTTTCCACATCGAAAATTATTTCCTCTCCTCAACACTAGCAGAATTTCTTAAAGATGCCCAATTTATTCTTTGGATTTTATTTCTTTCAATTCACTACTCATAGATAAAACTTTTGATGGAATTTGTGAGCACTTTTCAAATTATGTAGTCATTCCCATGCTAATCAATTAGAAAAAACTATTTTTGAAAACCATATAGTATAATAGTTATGGCTTAACATTATTACCGCTAAAATGTGGCAGATAAAAGCACAATTGTTTTAAATACATAAGATCTGGTGCCTCAGAACATATGATACCTCAAAAATAGAATTTAAGCTTATTTTCTTGAGTATCTACACTAGTAATTTTTTTTAAAAATGTGTCACAGATCTTCCATTAATAACTGATATTAAGCCCTTGGATGACGATTTTATATTTACATTCAAATGAGTATTCTTAAGATGCAAAATTCCTAATACTTCAAATAATGAAACCAACTGTAAAAACATAGCCATCCAATTCAACCTTCCTTTTTCTTGTTCATTTACTTAACTACCTTCTACTTAACTGCTGCAATGCAAGACTCCCAGTTGTTACAGAAGATGGACTTTATGTGCTTGTTTTTCCTTTCTGTCTCACAGATCAGGGATATTTCTGAGTAAATACCAGGCCCCACAAAAAAGATCTGTCTTAATAGTACAAGGGAAAAAAAATAGTACTGGAGCCACATGTGGTATCACACACCTGTAATTCCAGCACTTGGGAGGCTGAGCCAAGAGGAGCTCTTAGTGGCTGCATAGTGAATTCAAGACAGTCTGAGATATATAGTGAAATCCTGCCCCTTCCCCAAAAAAGTATAGGAGATGATTTAATCAATCTAAAAATAAGGTTTCCCCAATATGATTAAAATTAATTATGTAACATTTAAAAGATAGCTACTGCATTAACAAGCAACAATTTATCTCATTTGAGGAAAATTCAAGTTCTATTCTTTGTAGGAACATTATATTATTCATTTTAGCTGTAATGAAATTCAGTGTTAGATTACAGTGTAATTCTAGTTCTATCAAAATAAAAAGCACATAATATGTATAACATTCTGGAATTACATCAGAAATTATAAAGCAACATCATATCATTGTTCAAGGCTGTCACCTTGAGAATAAATTCACAGAATCTAAAATCACAGTTTCAGAACTATATTTATGGCCTGCCTATTATGTCCACCCCTGGATGCCTTCTTCAAACCTCCTTCCCAGGTCTACAGGTTTATCTGCACAATTCATCAAGTGAACTGAAATCAAGGAAGCTATACTGTTAGGAAAGATGGTGGTGTCACATGAATCCAGACTTAGCCCTCTGGAACTCTGCTATAGTGAGCAAACTTTAATTCTCTGAGCCTCAATTTCTCCTCTGTAAAAGGACAAGACAACCTACCCAGAAAATTATTTTCTAGATCATCCCCTTTGGTTTCTGTTCCCCTTGTGGCAGATGCCTAGTGAGTGAGCCATGATCTTAACTGTATGGCCAGTCCACAAATTATGTATTACAAAGTATTTCACCCAGAGGATCACAATCACAGTTAACTATGTTAGATTTGTAAGCTGCAATGCTTTTTTCAGCCTTTTATTTTTCAGTAGGATGTTTTAATACAGAGAAATGAAAAACTCACCAAGGTTAGAAAATTTTATTTCACCCTGCTATATTGGGGTTTGTATCCAGGGTCAAAGTAGGCAAATGCTGCCCCTCTAGCATTTTAAAAACGTTTAGCTGGGCATAGTAGAGCACCCCTAATAATCCCACCCCTAGAATCATGCAGAGTTCAAGGCCAGCCTGGACTACACAGTGAGTTCAAGGCCAGCCATCTGTACTACAGAAAGAGACCAGGTCCCCCCGCCCAAAAAAAAAAGAAAAAAAACTTAAGCCAATAATTTACATATCAAAATTGATCCTCAACTTTCAAAAGAAATTAAAACTATTGATTTTTAAATGTTTGTGTGCTTGTATTTATTTAAATCTCACAAGGTCAAAATCTTTAAAACTTTCTTTTAAAAGCTGCATTTCAGAACCAGATACAGCACAGTTGTCTAAACAATGGGTTACATGATACACCACAGACTCCACACAAAGTCACAACAGGATGGGAAAAGAGCCTTCAGCCTCTCTCACATTTCCTGGCCACTGTTATTTTAAAACTTGATCACACAAACATAAACAGGGAAAAATACTGCAGTTCAGATAAGCCACACAAGTTATGATTTACGATCTTTGCTTTCAATACCTTACATCACTTTGCCTTAAATATTAATGTTGTCCATTTCTCTTGCTCATTTTTACATTTGTTGTTCATGTTTCTCACATCTCGTCACTAAGAATCTATGTTCATTATACACTTCATAGTTGTATTATACAGATTTTAATTGTAATAATTTTTCTTAAAGATTATACTTCTGTTCCTTGTTTTACAATGTATTTTTGAAAACATTATGTTATTAAAGAGCTAAAAAGCTAAGAGAACAATCTGTAACGCATTACACAAAAAATACAAAATGCAATGTGCAAATCTCCATCAGATTAACATAACTTGTTTACCACGACGCATGTAATTCCGGAGCAACTGAAAATACTCAAAATGAGCTAGATACTGTAAAGCCCATGAGCTCTCTGAACACCAGAACTGTTTCACGTTCTGCTCTGGCGATAGCACACTTTGCACCATTTCTATCGGAGGCTAAATCTTAATGCTGGAAGACAATAAGATGACGTTTTCATTGACCATTTGCCATTTAGAAATCCACAACTAATTGACCACGGTTAATTTGTAGAGAATTGCTGTTTAGAGGCCAACCTTTGCACCATGGCCACTACCCGTCCAAGATTCACATTTTATGGTGTGAAGCTAGTTTCATATAAATCGTAACAGTTTTTAAAACAAAGCCCGCCTATATTTGGACACAATGTATCTATTGCACCAGCGCAGACCAGTAAGCCAAACATTTTTCCAGCATGTAGTCTGTTAAACTGGGGCAGAGTCTGCACGGGTCGATTTCAGCACCTCTCCATTACATACTGTACGCCACACATAATGTGCTGGTTTTGGAACTGTTTCTCACATGAATGTTAAAGCAGGAACTCTATTAAAAACAAAACCTCGGGGTTGAGGTATTTTAATCGTTTTAAAGAGTTTTTGGAAACTAACAAACAAAGTTGCAGTTCAGTAGCACGTCCGCAGACGAACGCAGTCCAAGTGAAGGACGCCCCAGCGCCGCCCCGGCGGCCCACCTGAGGCGACCCCGCCCGGCCTCACCTGCTCCCCACAGCCCGGGACGAGCCGCGCGTGAACTTCAAGCGCGTTAACAAAAGGAAACCCAAAGAGGCGCGGTGCCGGTCGGAGAGCGCGGCCCGGGCTGCGCCCCCGAGCGCCAGCTCCCACCTGGGCCGGGGAGTGGTCGGAGGCACAGGGGGGCGGCGAGCCGGACGCGGACCGCAGGAGGACCGACCCGTCCGGGGACCCAGAGGAGGACCGACCGCGGAGCCGGCGAAAGACCGAGCACCCCGCGCACCCGGGGGAAGCCCGGGCGCGAGCCGCCACACTCACCGGCGCGGGGCAGGGCAGGTGTGCGGGCGGCGCTGAAGGCCGAGGGAGACAAGACGGCCGGCGGCTGCTCGCTTCCTGCTCGGACAGAGCCGGGTCGGTGTCCGCCGGCGCCCGCGAGCCCCGCCGCCGCGCACGTCACAGCTACGGAGCGCCTGAGGGGGCGGGGCCTCGGGGCGGGGCCCATTCCCGGTGGGCGTGGCTTTGGGCGGGGCCCCGCCTGTCATCCCGGGACCCCGCCCCGCCTCGGGATTGAGGGCTTTCAGGCTCTCAGGCTGAGGGCGCCTCTTCTCCGCCCACCCGGGACCCAGGCCAGGCAGGCTGCCTCTGCTGGAGTCGGGTGAAAAAGAAGAAAGCTTGTTCAGACTGGGTCGAGGACTGGGAGCGAGGCTGGTGGCCGAGGACAACTCCTAGCACTGCTGGCTTGCTGGGCAGCCCACGTTGGGTGGGGTGACCTCTTGCCCTGGTTGCTTTTTTTTAGTGCATGTCGGTGATACACAATAATTACCTTCCTCTTGGGATCTAGTACATAGACAAACGAGTACTCCGCCCTCCTTCCATATCTAGATCGCCTTCCCATCTCCACTGTCTAGCTCTCTGTTTCTTATCTTTTATTTTGCTCTTTAAATTATTTATAGTTTGGGTTTCTCATATAAGAGAAACCATACAATATTTAACATTCTAAGCCAGTCGTGGTGGCTCATGGCTGTAAAACCAACAATTGGGAGGCTGAAGCACAGGAATCGTCTGTAGTTCAATGCCAGCCTGGGCTACATAGTTCAAAGCCAATATGAACTATAGAATAAGAACCTCCCCCCCAAAAAAATCTGTATGTGATTTATTTCACTTAACCTCATGGTCTCCAGATATATTCATTTCCCTAAAAATGACTCAAATGAATCTTTCATGGCTCCATTGTACATATACACCACATTTTCTTCATTCATCTGTTAATGGCATATAGGCTGCTTCCAAGATTGACCTGTGGTGAGTTGCACTGCTATAAACATGGGTTAGCACACATAAGCATAGCACAATAACTAACTCTTTTGGGAGGATACCTAGAAGTACAGCTGGCTAAATGGAATTTCTATTTTTAGTTTTTTAAGCAAACCCTACTGATTTCCAAAGTGATTGTATAGTTTACATTCCTACCAACTGTGCAGAAGGGTTCCTTTTCCTCACAACCTCTTCTGCTGTTTTTTAGTTCTTGAGGATGCTCATTTCTAGTAGAATGGGGGATCTCAGTGTTGTTTTGATTTGCATTTCTCTAATTGCAAAGATAAAGTGAAGTGTCTTTTCACTTTAATTGCTCATTTTTTGGATTGTTCTTTTATTTTTGGAGTCTTTTTTTAAAGCTCTTTATACATTTTACATATTAATCCTTTGGAGGACCAAGAAGTGGAAACTGTTTGATCTTGAGAACCACAAAAAATTAAAAAATGAAACAGAGAAGAAACTTTCACTTTTTTTTTTCCTTTGCCTTCCTTTTTCAACCAAACAGATGCCCCACTTAAAGCCTCTGTCTTTCTGGTTTAAATTTTACTGTCGTTACAAGTGACCTGTAAATCTTTTAAAGTTAAATGAGTTATTATGAAAATTTGAGTTAGGATAAAAACATATGTCAACTTTAAGGGGAAAAGCTTTTAAGAAAATGAAAGAATTGACTACAACAGCAAAGGTCTCTATTGAAAAAAAGAATACTTACATGTGACAATGATCCTTTTCCATGACATTTATAAAAGACAACTTGGACACTTCAGGAAATCTTCAGGATTTGAAAAGGAGACAAGTTTCAGATATTTGGAGTTTCCATAATTATTTTGGTTCAAAAGCTACATTCAGATGAGAAAATTTAACAGACAACAAAAACAGTAAAATATTGAGAATAAAATAGGGAAGTCAGAAAGAGGAAGAGAAACCAATAAAGGAAATAATTTACTTCAATCTCAGAAATTTAATTCCAGAGTGCAAGGAGGTAAATATGTGAATATAGATTTCAAAATGATTTTTAAAACAAGATGAAGATCACTTTGGCAAGCCAGTAGAACAATAGAAGTCATTACATTTTACAGGGTGTATGCATAAATGAATGTGTAATGATTGTGTAATGTGATTGTGTAATGTGTGTTAAGTGTGATTTTTTTCTTCTGTGTCCCCCACTTCCAATCTATTACTGAGTACCTTTGCTCTTAGTTCCATGTCTCTCTGCTCTATCCACTTCTTTCAGGACACTGGCATTTCAAGTCTTACATGCTGCCCTAACCACCTAATCAATTTTTCAGGTGTCAATCTTATCCCTTTCTAATATTGAGTCTGTGGTGCCACCAGTTAAGCTTTTAAAAACGTCTGATTACTCTTTATCCCATGTTAGCCTTCCTCTACCCTGAATCTAAAGTCCAAACCCTTAAAATGATTTTTGATTTCTCTTTTTTTTTTTGTTTTATGGTGCCAGTGATGGAATCCAGAGCTCTGCACTGCTAGGCAAGCAGTCTCCACCTAACCACACGCCCAGTAAGTACCTCAAGAGCATTCTTGATTTAACCACAGTCACTAAACTGGCTGGTTTTGTTTGAGTAGCACAGTGGGACTTTTTTTTTTTTACTAAATTTAAATGGCTTTTTATTATCATATGGTCCCAAGTCCATCACTATCCTAAAACTCACAAAGCTGTCTTAACTAGTTTTCTGTATATAATGTTACCTGGCTACCTATCTGTGACATTGCTATCATTTTGGACCACTGTCCTATCCCTGGCTATGCTTTCCATCTCAATTTTATCCACTGCCTTTCTCCATTTTTTTGAACTGGAAATCAAACTCAAGGACCTTGTAATTAACAAGCGGGCGCCATGCTGCTGGGTTGTCTCCCCCCCACTTTTCACCTTTTCTTATACTTCACATTCAAACTAATCTGAAGTGCTTGTGTGTTCCAGAACTGACAGCTGTGCTATTTATTACAGTGGAGCACTGCCAAGCTAAATCCAATTAATCTTTCAGAATAGAACGCATTTGTCCCATGGGAGAAGCTTCCCTGAGGCACCCTGTGATAAATCCAAGGTGCAGTTTGGGGCTGTTTCCCAGCTCTCACTTAGCACCCACTACATAAATGTCTCTCCCAACACACACATCACTTTTGCCACTTAAATTTACTCATCCATCTGCTCCAAGAGCACAGTGGGTTTTAGGCATTCGGTGAATGTGCCCACCATCAGTACTACTCAGGAATAAATTGGTGGGTGGATGGGTGAACTAATTGCTAGACACTTGGCAACCCTAAGAAACTGTGATACTGTAGCTGAGCATGGCGATATTCCCAGTGACATCTGATCACCAGGCCTGTCCCCCACTAGAATCTGACTTGGTTGATTTAGCCTTTATCCTTAATGTTATACTTTAGTAATTTACAATCCCCTGACTCTCATCTTGCTCTGTGGCTATATATTTCCACTTGGTTTATATACAGATGTTTCCCCAAAGCCTTGTGCCCTCAAAAGTGGGGCTTTTGGGAGGTGACTGGGGATGTATGATATACCATCCATTGATGTGTGATACTCATCACTGGACCCATCTGACGGATTTATAGCTGGGTGTAATGTTGAAAGGTGAAGCCTGGTGGGTTGGCATGGCCCAGAAGGGTCTATCTTTCCATCTTTCTTTGAACTTTCTCTGTCTTCCTGCCTGCCCTGCCATGAGCTGTTTCCTCTTCTGCGATGCCCCTCTGCCACGCTTCTCTGTCTTGGAACCAACCAACTGTAGACCAAAACCTCTGCAAACTATGATCCAAAATCAATGTTTTCTCCTTTAACTCATGAGTGTCGAGTATTTTGTCCAATCAGTGAGAAAGTAAGACACTCATGCTGCACTCAGAGTTGAGCCCAGTCTTCCTCTCCTACTGCAAAGTCCCTGGCATGATAATTACATGTATCACAATGCCACCAAATCATTCTTACTGTATTTTTTTTTTGTCTTTTTTGTTTTTACCGGTACCAGGGATCAAACTCACGACTGCCTGCTTGCAAGGCAGGCGCTTATGCCGCTGAGCTAAATCCCTAGCCCCATTCTTACTGTATTTTAACAGACAATATGGATAATTTTGTTCTTCTCCTTCCAACTTTAAACTCATTAAGATATACAGAGCCCTTCACAATCCTGCACTACCACACAGCACTGAGCATGTGTGCTGCTGAAGTGAGCACGCACACAGCCCTAAGAATGCAGACATGGGGGCCATGTCATGTGGGGCAGGCACTCTGCCTCCCAAACTCAGGTCAACTAATAATGTTTTTTCTGTATTGACTCTCCAGCACCCACTTCATACCCATACTATAGCACTTGCTAAGTGATTTTATAGTTAGGCTTTTTTATACCAGTTTCTTCCTCTAATAACCCTGTAAAACACTGTATTTGGATTTGATGTTGGTTTGGTTTGTTTGGTTTGGTATGGTTTGGTTACTTTGCTGCAGAGCTGAGGCTTGGAGCCAGGGCGTCACACTCACAGAGCACACTTTATTACTGAGTTTACATCCCCAGCTCAAAACACGGAATTTGGTTCAATTCCCAGTTCTGAAAAAAACAACACATTGAATTTGTCTAAATTAAAATTTCTTAAAAGCCAGCCATGGTGGCACTTTCCTGTAATCCCAGCATTTGGGAGGCTGAGACAGAAGGACCATTGCAAGTTTGAGACAAGTGTGAGCCTGAGGCCAGCCCAAACTGGATAGTGAGACCTTGTCTCAAAAAGGCAAAAAAATTCATCAAAATTTCTGCTTAACCTGGCACAACTCAGTCCCTGCTATTTGGGAGGCTGAGGAAGGAGGATCAGTGAGCCCAGGAGTTCAAGACTGGACCAACTTAGCAAGATTTTCTCAAAAGAACAAAAATTCTGCTGAATTATTGCTCTATCTACAAGTATGCTTTATCTACAAGTACACACTGCCTCTGTCACTGACTTCATAAAAAAAAAAAACTGCGAAAATTGGTTAACACAGTGCTGAGCACTCTAAGAGACTTTTCATCACATCTTTACCTCCCTATGAGTAAATTAGTGAGCCTTTGCTTTTTGTCCACACAGCGTCTGAATTTGCGTTATTTGTGGAAAATTCTTACTTTGGAGTCTCAGTAGAGAAAGAGGCCACCCACCACTTTGAAACCGACTTGG